AGAAGAAGATAATGATTATACCTTAGTTTTAAAAATCAATCATACAATGCTTTAAAAATGTTGATTAGAAGTAATAAATAATTTGAGTTTTTAATAGTCATAATTTATATGATAAATAAAAGTATTTATGGTGGTTCGACTTATTTTTGATACTTATTTCTATTTAGCTGAGGCAAAACTGCTTTTGAACTAGGATACCCTATTTTGGTTTGTTTTATGTGTTGTGATAATATATTTTTCGAATTTTTTTATCTCGTTTTCTATTTTGATTTGTTTTTTTTCTCTTACTTTTTTGGATGTTTAAACAGAACTTTATAGCCGGTTAAACAGTCGGCTGTTTGTAATACGTCGAACCAGAATACGCCCTTAAAGCTATTTTTATATAATTGAATTATATATTACTATCATCTACACCAAATGTGCGATTATTTATTAGGTTTAGGGTTATGCTGCTGATATTCTAATTTACACACTTACTACATTATATATATTACTAGATAACCCGTCAAGAATGACGGGGAATCAGAAATTTCTTCTTTTCAATGATGAATGAATAATTATTTTACCTTTCTTGAAGGACGAATCAGTAATTTTTATATTTTATGATTATTCAATAATTAAGTTTTTACATGGAAAAAATGTTTCTTATTAACACCCCAAATACTAACATTATCCACCAGAGCTCCTGTTAGTCAGCATTGTTGTTGACTCCCCACCGCGTGAAGGTAGGAGATGGATTTTAGGGGAGCAAAGAGATGAAAAGAAGAATAAATAAAAGAAGGAAGAAATAGAAAAAAAAGAACAATGATATGAATTATAAGAAAATATAATAATTGTATATACCTCAAGGCTTGACGATTATCGGATTCCAACAAATAAGCATTTGTAACCATATTAAAAAAATATAATATAGTAAATTTATAATAACAAAAATTTTACTAAAAAAGGAGATGATATTCTAAAAATTGAGAGTAATCTAATATTTTTAAGAATTAGCCTCGGGTATATCACCGTATGTTGCCTTTTATTTGAAAATGTTGTTGTCATGTCTTTGATGGTTTTGCTCGATGTGGTATTTTGGTGATGATGTGGTTTCCTTGCTCGTAGTTTGCCGTAAATAACCTGAAATAAAGCGTGTAAATTGAAAGTACAAAATAGAATTTACTGATGATGATGGTCGTGTCTTTGATGATTTTGCTCGATGTGTTATTTTGATGATGATGTAATTTCCTTGCTCGTAGTTTGCCGTAAATAACCTGAAATAAAGCGTGTAATTGAAAGTATAAAATAGAATTTACTGATGATGGTATCGTTGATGGTTTTGTTCGATGTGGTATTTTGATGATGATGTGATTTCCTTGCTCGTAGTTTGCCGTAAATAACCTAAAATAAAGCGTGTAAATTGAAAGTACAAAATAGAATTTACTGATGATGGTCGTGTCTTTGATGGTTTTTCTCGATGTGGTATTTTGATGATGTGATTTCCTTGCTCGTAGTTTGCCGTAATTAACTTGAAATAAAGCGTGTAAATTGAAAGTGCAAAATAGAATTTACTGATGAAGATGGTCGTGTTTTGATGGTTTTGCTCGATGTGGTATCGTTTTAGATGAATTAATTTGTAGGGGCAGAATTTAACACGTCCTGATATAAGCTTTTAGTGTTTATAATTTAAAATTCAAAATAGGTATTATTTTTTAATTTTAGCTGCCATGAAGGTCTGTTTTATTGCCTTCTTTACCATATCTAGATTTTTTAAAAGATTAACTTTCAAATTTAGACAGTCATTATTATAACATACAACAGTTCCTTGGATTTTTCTTCTATGGGTGCTAAAAAAGATAATTTACAAAAATAAGTTATGCATAGCTTTTTAGTGTTTATAATTTAAAATTGGTATTATTTTTTAATTTTAGCTGCCATGAAGGTCTATTTTATTGACTTCTTTACAATATCTAGATTAACTTTTCAGTGTTTATAAGTTAATATTCAAACTATTTAATAATTTATTTTTGTATATTATTTTAGCCTTCATGAAAAATCTAAGTAACTGTTATATGTAAAAATTATAAAAATTTACTGTTAATGTTGAAACAATAATATATTGCTCTTGATTTTCAGTACTACAATTTGATTGTTGATTTTCAGCATCTTTTTGTTGAAAGGTATCTTGTGCAGGAATCTAAAAATATAATAAAATAGTAATTAAATCAAAAAATTTACCATAGCCTATAACCTTTTCATGTACCTTCTAAAAAAATGAAAATTTTGTTTCGTGTACCTTCTAAAAAAATGAAAATTAAAGGAGCGGTTAAATACTATATATTATATATAAAAATTGTAAATCAGCTAGTTATCTATAATTGTGTATGAATATTTATTATTTTTCAATTCAGTAATTGTGTATGAATATTTATTATTTTTCAGTTCAGTAATTGTGTATGAATATTTATTATTTTTCAGTTCAGTTTGGTTTGGTTAATGAATGAATGTTAAATATGATTATGTGGTGATTTTTAAAAAGAATGTAAAAAATTTTAAAATATCAGAATACCTATTTAGTTTGAATTTTAAAGTAGCTACATAATCGTTCTATTTGATTAATTTTGTCAGATTAAGAAAAAAAAATATTTTACCACATTAAGAAAAAAAAACATTTGCCGGGGTTCGAACCCAAGTCTAATAATCCTTCTAAATTTGTAACAAAATTCTTGCCCGATTGGCGGTAGGCACTTTTCAAAATTAACGATTTTTTGAATATATATTATAAAGTGTGACATGAAAAGTGGGACATGAGAGCGTAACGCTATTTTTGTGACAAGGCTTATATATATATATTATAGATAATTAGTTAAGGTCCCGATCAGGTCTTTGGCCTGGACCTGACTGATGCATATAGACCAGAATAAATTATGGTCTAAAAAAGACCGGTCCTTACCATGATTGTTTTATTATTTTATTAAATGTAAAATATTTCTGTTAATAATATCAAATTATATATGAATGTTATAATAAATAATACAAATATTTTATTTTAATAAATGCTAATATCTTTGTTAGCAGAACTGCACTGAGGGGAAATAGGGACTTCATACTAGTAGAATCTATTCCATTTTGTCTATTATAAACCATTTTAATATTATTTGCTTCATATGTTTCGTTGATATTATAAGAATGGTATTGAAGAAAATGACATTATGCGCGTAAATGGCATATAAAAATTAAGAGTATATTAGATTTTGAATGTATTTTCATCTTAACTTTTTCCAAGAGAGATAAATATTGAATTCTTCATCAGATGTCTGCTTAAACACCTAATAAACAATAAATATATATTATTTTAAATTACTGTTGTTAACTATACATTAAATTTGGCATTGAAATGGCACATATTGTGTAAATGGGACTATAAGTAAAATGTTTTTTTAACTTTCTGCAAAGTAGAAATGAACTATAAAAGAATCATAAAAACTAAGATAACTCCTCTAGAAAAGTAATTAAATTAAATATACATAAAATCTTGGTAAAAAGTTATATAAAGCGAAAAAATTGACCGACCCGGAATATGGTTCCGGTTGATCTCGGTCTAAGATAAGATCTATTGGTTCACTAAATATAATTCACAATAATATATTCCAATTTTATCTAGCTTCTCCGCTAATATAATCAGTTTTTATTTTACAACTATAAATATTTGAATTTTTCTTATCATCTTTTCTGTGGTGTAATTTATAATTTATAGGCAATTGAAAAATATTAGATATTATTTTAAATATAAATATGTCCCATTTTCTATCTGACTTTAAAATTTTATACTTTTTTTTATTTAATGCTATTTAAAAAACATTTTATATCTTTCATAGATATAGTGGAAATCGGGGTCATTTGATCAGTATTATCCGAATTTTAAGAATTAGATTGAAACTATTAATATACTAAAATATTCTCTTATCACAGCTATAAAATAAAATAAAAACTCAGAAAGTTCGATCTCTCATAGATTAGGATCTATTCTTGAATGTGTGAGAGGTACCACTCATGAAGTGGCAATAGATTCGAGATATATTTCTAGAGGAGCTAGAAATTCCTGAACACTTTTAATATGTAGCAAATTGAGAATCTCTTAAAAATTTGGAAGGTTTATATTTATAAAAGAAAAACTTTAGACGTAAATAGGTCAAAAAATTGTTTTTTATAAATATCATTTTTATTGCGGAACTCCCAATGGTTGTAGAAAATAAGAAAATATTTATAAAAATACATATACTAATTAAATTTGAGTTATTTAGCTCAGATAGTTCAAAAGGCAGTGGTATTTACTTCTTCTTTTTTTTTATCTCGGTGGCTCCGTTGCAACCGGGGTTCCCTTACTCATTTTTTCTTTAAAAAATTTAGCATTTTTATCTTTTATCTTCTTAAATTTTTACTCCTGTCTTGTATCTTAATTAAAAATTTTCAGATCCCTGCGAATTTAATATTTTATTCATTTTTAAACCCGAGTTATATCCGACTTTATTTTATTTTTTATTACCCACGCTCGGTCATTAGTCATCCTTATATAAAATAAAATAAGCAAAACGTACTAATTTCTTTGTCTTAATCTCCCCCCCCCTCCCCAAATTAGATTTTGATTTAAAATAAAACATTATTTTCCATTATTTTAGATTTTATATAATTTTTAAAGCTCGGGTCTACCCTGGTACAATAAAAAGTTTCTTTTTCGCGTCCACTTGTAGAGCTTTAATATAGTTACATATTTATCGATGTTCTTATATACCCGCTTTGATATGTATATTACAACTACTAACCAGGCCACGGCAGACCCTTTTAGAGGAAGTAATAGTAAAATTCTTTCTAAACTTACCTAGTTAAATTGAACTAGATTTTTACAGTTAAATCCCTCAGAACCGAATTATTAGCAAAACTATTTTAAGTTTGCCTTTTTTTAGACGTGAATAAGTAAATTCTAATATAAATATTAATTTTTTTAAATATAAAAACAGATAAAGCAAGTCCTTCATGTGCCAAATGTCATTTGAAGATAACAGATAAATATATTTTGAAAGTGGCGAATGATTATTGGCATGCATCATGTCTCAAATGCAGCGAATGCGGCGAATTGCAGGAGAAGAAATGTTATTGTCGAGACAATCATGTCTATTGCAGGCCCGATTTTTATAGGTGAATTATTTTAAAGAATTTTTCAGTAAAACTCACATTTATAGTTGCTATATATCTTTTCTTTTTTAAAAAATTAATTATAAAAAAATTAGAAATATATGTCTGATTCTAGAATAATCTAGCAAAAAAAATGGTTTTACAATTAAGAAAAAAATGTTCGATGAAAATAATCATTTATAGATTATATGTTTATCTTTTATACTAATTATAAAAAAAATCCAACACTTTAAACAAGTTTCGCTTTTTTATGTCATATACCATTGAACCCCGTTAAATTTGTTCTTAAAAGAATATATGATAAAGTCAGAAAAAATATTTGGAAGCAAAAAAAAGATTTTAAAATAATACAATTGTCCAAATCTTAAAAAAACATACAAATAGAAAATACGGTATAAAATGTCCAGCATGCGGAGTGGGAATTGAACCTGCCACCTCTGTTCGAAGAGCCAACGATAAAGTTTTCCATTTAACTTGCTTTTGTTGCGTTATTTGTTCCAAAACTCTAGACACCGGTGATCTATTCTATCTAATGGAAGACGGTAAATTAGTATGCAAATCGGATTACCAATCATCTAAAGACCGAGGTTTAATATTTGATATATATTTCCCTTTCCTTTTATTGTCCCCTCTTTTTGAGATTATCTAGTATTTTCGATCATCTTATACATTAATGTCCTCGCGGAATACCACGATATCGTTCAGGAGATGTGTAATTTATCTCTAAACAATAACATGGCTCATACCTGAGGACATCGCGGTATTTCGCGCTTATACTATAAACGAGGCCATATTAGTCATAGTTAAATTTTTAAAAAACGATATACTCTCACGATACATTTATTTTCTTCTTATTTATGGGATTTTACTTATATAAAATTTACATGTTAAATAAAAAGATATATAATTTAAAATATAAAAATATACAAGATATTATATGCACCTATTATAGTATGTCACAGGCGAAGCCAAGGGGGGGGTGGCAAGGGTAAATCCAACCCCCCCCCCCTCTTCTAAAATTGTTTTTATTTGTGAATATCATTGTATAGTGTTATCAAATCTTAAAGACAACTTTTAAAAGTAGCACGTTACCTTGAATGCTATTTTCATTAAAGTAGAGTGCTATTAGCTACCATTTTTATAAGTTAGTTATACACTGTTTAATTTATTTTCAAACTTAATTTATACTATTTTATTCTTTAATTATAGAATATATAAAAAGTTTATATTTCGAATTCAAACATTTAGAAAGAATTTATTTTTAAAAATATGACTAATACAATTTACTAGAATCATTTCCATATATCATTCATTCATAGGTCTAAGAACGGCGATTACGTTAAAATTTCTCAAATTAAATAAATTACTTGTTTATAGATGGGATTATATTTGGATCCCACTATATTATTTCCTCCATAATATATTCTTGAATGTTCTTGGAATAAAATAATGTAAAACTAACTATTTAAAAAGACTCGTAGAAAACCAAGAAATGGGAAAGCTTCAGAACAGAAAGTCTATTTCAATATTTCTTCTTTTTTATTACTAAGAATAAAATGGAAAATTTGTGCCATGATTGTCTAAATTTTTTAAACATTAAATATTTTCAGAAAATTTTCAAAAATAAGACCTTTGTTCATCAAATAATACAGCACTTCATCGTAATCCAGTAGAACCCGTTGTAACAAATTTAGAGTTAACCAAAGTTCTCGCATGTGAAATTTTGAAAAACAATTATTTAAAAATAATATTAAAAAAATTTGATATACAAATATTATAATTTAAATCTTATTTTATTGTTTTTATTAAATCAACGTTATGTTAATGCGTAATATGCCGACATTTGCTAAACTACGACCAAAATTTATTAAAATACAAATCACGAGGTCGCTTCTGATATTTTATATATCACCAAACCCTGAATTCACAGTTAGTCCGAATTCGCGGTAGAGAATGTTAAAATGCACAAAAATAAAGCATAATTTGAATACATCGCCGTCGATCTGTTCTAACTGTGAATGTGGGGTCACTTCATTTCCAGTAAGCGCAAATTCGCTGCGGAGAATACAAAAATATTTTTTAAGAATTCGCGCTAATGAATGAGGGATAAGGACAGTACAACTTAATTGTCTATAGAAAGAATATGGTCTATGCTGGATTTAAACTCAGAACTATTGGATTGTGATACATGCCACTGAACCGATTAGGCCACAGGAATTACTCTGAAACATTAACATTTTTGGCATATAAGGATAAAATTACAACCCTATCTAATATTTTTATAAAACACATAAATAATCAAGAATGTTCAACGCTATACATCATTCCCCATAGGCGTATTCATGATTTTTCTATAGGAGAAGGGGCAGTATTAGGAGGGATTTTCTGTCATTTTTATAAGTCTTTAGGTCCACTTATTGTGGGCCTTTGGCTATATTATATTTCAAATAATTTTTGTGTTTGACTTAATATTTTATAAAAACGTATTTTTTACTAAAAATTTTGAATTATAGTTGTTATTTAAAATTTTATTTAACCTTTACTTCGGAGAGAAGGTCACGCGCCTGTCATTACCCTATGTTAAATATGAAATTTATATGTTTAAATATATTATTGAACGCAAATAAATTTTGAAAGCGACCTATTCAGTTTTTACCAATGAGCGATGAATGCCATTATATGATCATTTCACATCCTACCTCCCGATATCTTACGTTTATTTACAAGATTATTAAATATTCATAGAAAGATAATGTCGTCAAATTCAAAGCACTTAAATGCTAAAAAAGGATAATGTTATAGTGCCCAAATGTTTTAGACATAATTATTAATATGTATCTTTTACTATTTAATCAAAAAATTTAATTAAAAAAAAATCAATTTATCTTGAAAAAATACTAATTTATTATTTAAAATTATTTCAACCATCAAATTGGGAGTGAGAAAAAAGAAATTCTCATTTTTATTATTACAAAATATCAACATTTTTGACGCAATCTATATTAAACCGATTCTGATAAATAAATTTAGATTCCGATTCTGGAAGCAAAAGACCAAGGACAACTATAACGGCCAAACAGCTGGAAACCTTGAAAAGCGCTTACACTGCTAGCAGCAAACCAGCTCGCCACATTCGAGAGCAATTGAGTCATAATACTGGTATATTCATTTTATTGTTGTTGAAAAACAAAAAATTAACATATAATAGAAAATTGAAATAGTTTAGTTTTTATAGCTTATAAGATGTATATATTAATGTTAACATAAAAGAATACACAAATTTGTTTAAAAATATCAATATATATAAATTGTATTCAACTATAAATATTGTAAGTTATTTATTTTATTTAATCCACCGGCAAATGAGTGTACAAGGATGCAAATATATGATTTTGCACAATATTATCCTTATTAAATATTATTCAAATCCCTTTTTATTTTTAGGTAAGGATTAGTTTCAATTTTTCAAACTAAATTTTGGTTAATTCGGTTCCTAAATCACAAGTCAAACAAATTTCGTTACATATTTAATCAAAATGAAGGAAAACAATGAATTAAGAACATTGATTGAATTTAAATTAAACCAAGGATATTTCCTTGATTTAGTTTAAATTTTGTAAAAGTGTACAATTATGAAATGATTGTAAAAGGTTTAGATATGCGAGTTGTACAGGTATGGTTTCAAAACCGACGAGCCAAGGAAAAAAGGTTAAGGAAAGACGCGGGCCGACTCCGATGGGGGCAATATTTTAGGTCAACATCCGGTTACGCATCTAACAATCAAACCAACCAGACAGCGAATCGAATTGGAGACAATGATGATGCAATGAGTGATGTCACGTCCTCAAAGGTTGAACAATCACAGGGAGCCGTCAAAAAATACGCCATTAATCATCACGAAGAGTTGTCCCGCCTGACACCTTCTTTTTCTTCACAGAGTTCACAGCTATTGATGATGTCCTTGGATGAATCTAACGATCAAATTATATATGACGGTAAATTATTACATTTACAGTTTCTTAAAAAATTTTTGATGGGAAAATTATGTCCATAATAGGCTATAAATATAATTATATAGAATATTATAGAATTTCTTAAAATTATGTTCCCATTGTTTTGTTGGATATTTATATAACTATACATCAATATAGAATAGTTATATATCTTTCCTGTGGTGGGATAGCAGGGATTTATCTTAGGGGAAGGATTATAAACATTCATTGTGGGTTTCGTCCCCAAATCCTCATTGCCCTGTCTTTGACAGGGTCTCTCCTATGATGATTTGATATTATATTAATTTCCCAATGGTTATTTATATTTTACTCTTAAATAATATGTAATATTATCTTTATATCTTCTCAGTTGAAGTTGTCTGAACGATTGGTAACATTAATGCCAATATATATATAAATGTTTTGTGCTTTTAGACCCATAGCCAAGAATTTTAAGTTGAGGTCGGTACTCGGTAATATATATTTGAAACAAAACAAATCGTTTTTAATACTTATAGAAATACTTTTGAAAATTAATAAATTGGCAATTAAGAATATTTAAAATAATTAAAAATTAACTAAAAGCTAGGTTTTGGGTTATTTTTCTTATCGCATGGTACTAAATTTGATTTTTGTTCATCTTTCATTAGTTATATTGTGGTCGATAAAACTATTTTAAATGTGGAGGATGAGGCCTCACAAAAGGCTGTTCATACCAAAATTATTCATTTAAGGAATTCTTTAAAAGGAATATGATACCTTATCATACATAACTATTTTTAAAAAAAGTATTTTTTCTCGCATAGTTAAATTAGATATTTATAAATTTAATAATAAAATTTATATTGTTAAACTAATCAGAAAGTTTTAAAAATTTTAATTAATTTTTTATAATTTTTAAATAAAAGAAAAATCATAAGGAAAAATTTATAGGCCTAACCAAATCAACAATTCTTGGAGAAGAGAATATAAACGACCAATCCAAATCATAAGACTATATAGTGGATAGAAATTCCTCTTAAATGACATGATGGAAGCTAGATAAGTAATTGAGAAAAAATTGTGAGATATTAAATTTCTAAAAGATTATCTTCCATTTTTAATGATATATAAACAACTACACAGTTGACCATTGTTGCTTATAAAATATGCAATCATATGCTCTCAGCAGCTGTAATAATAATCGTAAATTACATAGCCACACAAATAATAGATGCTGGTTAGTTTGCAGTCATAGCCATGACACTCACTATATTAACTTATATCAGAATTTATTAAGCTAGATAAATTGATAAAAACAAAAACACTAAAAATCTTTAGAAGAAATTATGCAAATGTATTGAAGCCTTAAGTTATTTACAAGAGGCAGGGATGCCATATTAGAAATGAAACATTTTGTAACTATAAAATAAGAACCAGAGTGATATGATATGATAAAAGAAATTAATTAAGATTTTATATATTATTGTCGCACCACCTCTAGTTGGTATATTATATTTTTAAATAGTAGTAGTTTATAATAATATCAAAAATATGCTAGTATTAAAAATTTAACTCAAAACTGTTTTTCAAATAAGAAAAAAATAGCTTTCCTAAAAACACGTAAAAAAGAGAAGAAAAGTTATCTAATTTATTACATCCATTCTGGGCAGCGTCTACATGAGTAGGAGGGGTAGGAACAGTTCGCATCCTATTTTTTGAGGGGTGTATGGGATAGGCTGCTTTAATGCGGGTAGGATAAATTTTTTGGGGGGTTATCTATTAAATTTTGAGATGGAATAGGACAAAATTTATTGCTGTAAAAATAATACTTTTATTATAGAATTATTATAATACAATTCATCGACCAAATCTATATATTGCAAACAATCATACACATTGTTTTCCAAATAAAACTTTTTGCTATCCTTTTAAATGTTTTAATTGAATTTATTATCTAAAAAATAAATTCTATATATTCACAAAATATCGATAGTTGGTAGTAGAGATAGATTAATTTAAGTTATCCTAGATAAATTATCTGAAAAGAGTATCAATAAATTAAAAAGGTGAAAATAATAATAGACAGACACCGCCGCCGAAGGCTGCGAAATTTTTTATGGGGTAGGTAAAGGTTTTTGAAGGGGGTTTGCATCCAGTGAAAATCCTGTCATGTAGACGCTAATTCTGGGATAAATAATAAGATGTAAATTTTTAAAATATTTCTAAATAAATAGATGGCGTTAAATATTTGAAGGCAATTTATTACTTATATTTATTATTAAAAGCATTTATTAGTAAAAGTTATTAAAATTAACTGTCAAATACGCCTGTAAAAGTGGTATTTAACCTAATATTTTATAACCAATTATATCTAATAGAGATTATAAACTATATGTTTACTTACTTTTTATAAATAAATCTCTTATACTTATTTGGATTTGGACCTTGAAAATAATTTTAAGAGGCATGATAATTAAATTTAAATATCAATAATATAGTTGATTAGTGATTTTGAACTCGGCAAATTACAATATTAAATTTGTTAGTTTTCAATTAATATCTATTTAATTAGGGTTATATAATAATAATAATAAAAGTCAATAAAGCTTCTGCTAAATTAATATTTAGTGAGTGATATTAATATTTTATTTTTAACACAGAATTTGCAAGCTGACATAGTGATAATATAATTTATAAGTATTAATCTAATCTAATAATTAAAATAGTATTCATGAATAATTTAGATAGACTTATTAATTTTTAAATTATAAAATTAAATTTATAAATTACTCAATAGAATTATAAAAGAAATCATTCAGTGGGCAATCAAAAAAATTTATTTTTAGTTCAAAGGGATATTAAGGAGCCATTAAAAAAAATTTTTTTGCTTCAGGAGGCTATTCAAATTTTTCAAGGGGCTCGAGCCCCTGCGCCCTCCTTCCTAGCGACGCCACTGACTTTTTATCATATTTCAAAATATAAGACTATATGTCTATGGCTATAGTTTAATATTATAATTTAGTAACAATAGCATAAATAAAAAAAATAGTGAAATTGACTAGAGGGCATCTTTGGAAAATTTTAATACCAAAATAGGATTAATGGGTTATACTTTGAAATTGAGAAATTGACTAGAGGGCATCTTTGGAAAATTTTAATACCAAAATAGGATTAATTAGTTATACTTTGAAATTGATAATATTAATTTTTTTAAATATAACTTAAAATTTGATAATATGAGTAGAATTGTTAATTCGTAGATTTTTAAGATTTTTGCACAAGAAAAATTTCTGAGATTATTTCATAGAATTAAAAAAATTAAAGAGGAATCTTTTTTCAATTCAACAGAAATGAATACAAATGAAAATTTTTGCCTAAGATATCAATATAAAAGTATTATTAAAACTAATAAAGTGCCAGCCGTGAATTCAGCAGACTGCTAGGAGAGGGGGGGGGTGGATTAAATTCTATTTTAATCTTACCTAGACGTTCTTATAAAAAGTATGTTTAACTACACTACGGATGACATTAATTAGTAGAGTTTCTTTAAATTTAGAAGCGTCATTTTATTAATTTTCCATTGAATCTTTTCTGAAGTCTCCTTCACGAGTAATTGGAATTATAAAAAAAAATTTAGAATAAAAAAAAGGATTAAATTTTAATTAAAGTATGTATGATATGATGATATTTGATTTTTATTGAAAATATATTTGTATATAAATGACAAGAGATAGCAGCTTAGAATATAAATTAAGCAATATAGAACATATATATGACGTAAATTTCGACAATAGATTGTTGCAAAGACCAATTCACCTTATGTACACCAATTATTTCAGAAATATGCATATCCTACTATAACCCGGCGAGACCCCAGACTAGGCTTTAGAATAATGTAAAAAATTAGCCATTATGCAAATGATATCAGAATGATATTTCTATAATCAATCTTGATAAAACCAAAATGAATTTGGGAATAATTAAAGAATAAAACATTTTACTTTATTAATAAACATTAATTATAACAAAAAGTAAATATATTTATAATTTTGATGTTAATAGTAAATTAATAAAATTCAATCAAAATCATAAAAGAAATATTAAACAGGATAACCAAAAAATATATTTTCATAAAATTGGTATGGCTTATTGATAAAATTTTCAAACCTTTTTTGAATTAATAATAAAGATCTTACCTGCATGCATTCATGATCTATTGTACAAATAAAATCAAGTATTAAATTAATTAATATTTACTTTATCTTGAATAAATATAGTATACTAGAAGATAGCCCGTCAAAAATGACGGGGAATGAGAATTTTCTTCTTACTTTTATGATAGTTGTTACCTCTTATTTGAAAATAATATCCAATTATTATTCTTTTAATCCCCCCCCCCCCCATCATGCCAGGTTTAATCCATTAAAACTAAGTGTAAATACTATGGTTTGGTAAAATTAAACTTAAAGCTTTTACTTGATAATACCAATATTATTTGATAAATATTACTGATCATTTATACCTAATATTTAATATTAAAAAAATTCCAAGGCAAAGGATAAAGCCATAATAATTTTGAAAAATTCTTCCAAGCCCAGTGAATATAATAATTTTGGTAGTGGAGAACTGAAATAAAATATTTAAATAATCATAATGTTAAAAATACAATCAAAATCAGATTTTCATGGGCCTAGGTTTTTTGATCAGGCCGAGCCCAGGCCTGCATAAAATTTTTTTTAGGCCATAATAAAAAAATTCTCAAGCATTCTAGCTCATAATATTTTTGAAAAATTATCCCCAAGCCCAGCCTAATATAATTTATGAAAAAATTTTTAAACCCAGCCCAACCTATAAAAATTTTATAAAAAAAATTTTCCCAAGCCTAGCCAACCCATAGTAATTTTCAAAATTTTTTCCCAACCTCGGAGATAGGTAAATCTCTAAAAACCATATCTATTTTTTATACCCCTACTTCAGACAAAGGCCAACCCATTAAGACTGAGAATTAATACTATTTTTGAATAAAAATATATTTAAATTAGCTTTTACCTAGGGGTATATAAATATTCTGTGTTAAATATTACACTTATGCCTAATATTAAAAAAATTCACAAGCCAGGTCCTCGCACTTGGGGAAATTTTCTCAAAAAGACCATAATAATTTTGATAGTTGAGAACTAAAATAAAATATGTAAAAAGTCACAATTTAAAAATACAATCAGAATATGAAAGTTACATGGGCCTTGGTTTTTGATCAGGCCTGGCCTCCAAAAGAAATTTTCAGGTCAATTTCTAACCCATATTTAAAATTAAAAATTTTTCAGGAATCTAAGACTATATTAATTTTAAAAAATGTTTCCCAAGCTACTTCCAAGCCCATATTAATTGTGAAAAATATTTCCTAAACCCAGGAAAACTCAGAATAATTTATTTTTTCCTTGGATCCAGAATAATAGGTGTGATGTAGGGGTTTATAAGAATTAAATCTGTCTAATATATATATATTTTTTTTGCCATTTATAACATTGGGAAAATTTTTCAAAATTAGGATCAAATGAAGGGGAAATATCTGATTTACCTATCATTCTACTGGTTAGCTCCTAGTATTTATATGAAAATCATGAATACATATTAAAGTACCATGCTAAAAATATGTTCATCCTAATTTAATTAAACAAACCACCACCCTTCCAAATGATTTATTACTTAATTACATAATATAAATTTATAACATTGTTATTAAATTACAATAGAAAAAATAAAAAGATATTCTAAGTTAACAAATAATAGGAGGTTAACTTTAATCATAGTCAAATTATATATAAGTAAAACAAAAAAGTTATACATTTAATCAAAAATGTTATAATAAGTTATGAAATACATTTTACAATTAAATTATTAAGTTATGAGAAAATTTACAAAACTATGGAATGCATGTAGAAATGCCAATTTCAGATAAGAGAGATGCAAATATTTACTTATGCATAAAAATTACCTAATTAAGAGATATAAAGTTGTATAAAATTCAATGTGGAATGGATCCTTCTTAAGGGTTTTAACATAAAACTCTCATCAAGCAATAATAAATTTTTAGATTATAATATACAAATGAATAATAATTTATTTTAAAAGACTTTTTAATTGTACACATAAATTAAAATTACTAGATATATACTTTATTAACATATTTTATAGATTAATTTTGTCAGATTAAGAAAAAATTTTTTTTTACCAGATAAAGAAAAAAAAAGATTTGCCGGGGTTCTAACCCAAGTCCAATAAACCATCTAGATTTGTAAGCGAAGTTCTTGCCCGATTGGGCCATAGGCACTTTTCAAAATTAACGAATTTTTTGAATATATATTATAAAGTGTGATATGAAAAGTGGGACATGAAAAGTGTGACATGATTTTGTGACCAGGCTTTTTTATATATTATAGATTATATTATTAAGTATATTATTCGATTCTATATAAATACCCAATTTTAAAGGCCCCTTTTTGTAAATAAAAAGGAAATGCAATTTTCTTGAGTTGTATTTTAAAAAGATTTCTATACAAAATAATGAAACACGTAATAGTACAAGCGTAAAGTGTTCTCTTCTGAGACCGACTATCACGGGTTCAAATCTGGTAGGTTATCAAAAAATTAACATTAGGTTATAATCTCCTTAAATTTCTATACTTAAGATGATAGGAAAACTATCATATATCAGATTATATATATATTAGAGCTAAAATGAGATTGTAAATTTTTTAAAATAATTTAATCTTTAAGGGTTAAGCTAGTTTTTATCTTATTGCATTAAAAGTTGTTAATTAGAATAGGGGAGACCGGGGACAATTTGTCCATAAAAAATTGAAGTGCCATAAAAAATAGACAAAGCAATTTTCTAAAATGTTTTAACGTAATTTTATTCTTTACATATATCTCTACGGTAGAAATTAATATTTAAGAAAAAAATCATAGTTTTTAATTAATGAGAAATTTAAAAAAATGAAAATTTAAGTTTTATGAAAAACACCCGGGGTACCTATTATCCTTTCACGTTATGTGCATAGCGCTTTTTTATTTTTAGATTTTTAAAATTTTTTTATATAAAGTGTTGATTCTAAGTAAATAAATAAAAATAAATTGTCAAATATGTTAAATTTATTGGGGTTCATCTATATCACATATCTCACCCGGAAGTACTTGTTGTTTAAATCTGTCATATAATTACAAAAAATAAGTCAATCATCTTCATATTGTCATTAGTGGTCCTAGGCAAAATAGTAACTTCTAATGTTTTAATAAATTTGGTTGGATTTTTTTTATTCAAAATAATCCCTGCTTAAAAATGGCTAATATGTACCCCGCCAAAACCTGCATCAGGTCTTCACAATTAATTAAAATTTAATTTTAAGATATTAAATTATCATAAATTGTGTCAATATTTTTATATATGATAAAATATATATTTCTTTATCATATAGAATAAATATTAAGTCTAAACAACGTTTAGTTATTAGTGAAAATGTAAAATTTTAAAAATTTTTAGTATGATAAAATTTAAACTTGCATTAAAAATTTTTCATGAGCATATTTGTCCGAAACATTTTTGGACCTACTTAAGCACCTAATTAAAATACATATTTGGCTTAAATTTCAAAACTTAAACTTTATTAATTTTTAGACTATTCGAGAAGGAAATACCTACCCCGGGAACCACTATCCCTGGTCTCCCCTAATTGTTTTTTTTACAAGAATCAGAAAACTCTTTAAAAAATATTATAGATAACTCCTCTAGACTGAGCTCACCTACGTCCTCTCTTTCTGATGATGATGAAAGAGACACGAACGATGACATAGATGAAGACAAATACGTCATATTGACTCCAGAACCTCCCAAATATTCCCAAAATGTTTTCGAGAAAATTCCCCAAACACGAATGGAAAAAAATGATTCGTCTACAACGGAGGATGATGAAATTATTACCAGCGGTCGAAAAAAACCGAATGGCAAAATCAATCACAACCATATTAACAGCAATAATGATAACATTTGTAGCAATAACTATAATAAGGAAAGAAATGAAAAAAAAAGGAAAAAAAGGAAGAAAACAACTAGCACGGGAACAGGTATAACTTTGAACCGAGATAAAACCGAAAATTCTAAAACAAAAACCGGCGGTAAATTGGCGAACAAATTAAGCAATGGAGGTTTTTTATTTGAGCAATTATAAAAAAAACTTTTTTATATTGAATTCGATAAATCAATTAATGTTTATACAAACTTCTAGAAATATATTAGAAAGTAAAGGAAAGCATAACTTTAGGTATTTCCACATTGTGCTTTATTATATAAATTAAAGAGTACTTCAGTTCTTCCTTTAATATAACCTGTATTTATCCATGCTTTCATTTTCCATAAACTTCCATTCACTTGTAATGTGGATCTCAAATATTTCATAATTCCTATCTTTGCCTTTTCTTCGTCTTTATATCTCTTATATTTCGTTTTAAACAGTATTCTTCTCGCATTCACTTATTTCTTAACTCTTTTCATTACTTTATTCTTTCTAACTGATCGATGTCATCTGTAAATATTCATGATGATTGAATTTAAAATTTCTTAGTATAAATGGTATTAATTTAAATACATATGAACGGATTTTATGTTGATAGGACTGTATAGTAACGCGCTACAAAATTAATGTTACTATAGAAGTTACTTTCACTTTACTTTATATTTTAATCATTTTTGTTTTATTATTGTTTATGTTCAACATTCAGGTTTATAGGCACATCTTTGGCAAACCTTAAATATTTTCTAAACATTAAAATCTAATTTTTAAATATAATACACCACTGTCATTCTCAACACTTTGAAGGTATTCATTACACCAAAGGCAGTCTGAGATTGTTTATCGTAGTAGAGCTTTGAAAAACAATTTTTAGTCAAAAATTATTAAAATTTTTTATCAATATATTTGTCCTATATTAATAAATCATTCTTTGAATTTTTGGGATTTGTGTAAAAAATGTCAATTAATAAATTAAAATGAATATAACTTATGCACTCTTTTTTCATAATGGTTTCGGTACGTTAAAAAAATGCAAAGTAGCGGTGCATTACTTTTAAAAAAAGTAACGGAGACGTAACAACATTACTATTTGTAGATAATAAGGCAAAGTGTAACGGCGTACTTTTTTTAGACAGTTATACTAATCGTTGAACACTCTATTAAATTTTATATGTCAGGAATCTATATGACCTTCATACATGATCTTGAAGAATTTCTTTAGCTCTATATATGTTTCAACCTTTTTCTTAAATTCATATTAATTTCTTAGTTAATTGAGACCTTCTTCAGATAAACAAAACACAAAATTATTTTATTTATCCCCATATTATTAAAATATCAGTCGTTCACTTACAAAACATAAAATCAGATTGGTTGTCTTCTATCTATATTTATGCTCAACAGTCATTTTTAGTTTTCTCCATATCTCGTCAAATATATTCTATAATTTTTACATTTTTTCTTCCTTTTTCAAAAGTTATTAGCCTCTAGCCCCACCACTGACACCGATGTTCATTTTTAAACATAAATATGAAAAGTTAAAACTATATATTTTTAAATGTTAAGCTCTTGCTTAAGACCCCCACAAAAACTAACTTAATGTAGGCAATGTTTTTTTGAGATGTTTACTTTTAATATCCTACCTAAGTATATAATAGATAGTTACTATACTACATAAAATCAAATTAAAAATAGAGTATAACCTCCACATCGTGGCTATTCAAGGGCGGTTCATTAAAGCTTAGAGTGGGCCAAATTATGGAATAATTTTTTTATAAATCACTATAAAACTAGGAGGAGAGACTTCTCTCCCTCTATCATAATAATATCCATTAATTATATATAATTTATTCTTACTTTTTCTCTTACAATATATTGAAAAGACGGTGCGACAAATCAAAGAATTAGAGGATCACTCCTTGTGGATGAAAAAACTTACGATCAAAGAATGTTCTCGGACAACGGTCCTGCTTACAAAACTCATTTCATAGACAAAATAAGCAACCAATCGAAACCCACTGTTGATGATTACGTCACGGATTTTACTGATTACATAATTAACATTCCATCCCATCATAAATCAACTATGTTAGGGAAAGAAGGATCGATAGGCAACTTGGAATATAACAGATTATACGATGATAATTTTTAAAAAATTCTAAGCCTCATTTCTTCAATCTGTCCCATTTCAAATCTTTTTTAATTATTTTTATTAATAACAACTTATAACATTTTTGTTCTATGTGAAGGGAAAAAAATTTTCACAGTGTAAGCATTAATAAAACTATTATATAATATATATAAAATCATTTCAAAGGAGAAATAGTACAGTAGTATAAAACAATTTATTTTTCATTTAGCAGCGATCATTTAAAGATTCCTATCTAAAAAAATCTTAATATAAAAATTTAACTTAATTAGTCATATTTTATTTATGTTTAAATTTTTATTTTCCTATTTTTCTCTGATCAATTCCTCCGATTTTATTTCTAATGCATATAACTGTTTGGATCATTTTCTATTCAATTTAGTAGGCAAACATTTACAAAATAAATGAAAAATCGTTAATGTAAAATTAATTAAATAAACCCATGCCCTACATCAAAATAGAAACCTGGAAAAAAACCATTCTTGCATTTGGGTGTTAAAAATTCACGCATATTTTTTGATTTTTCTTTGTTTTCACTTCAATCAAAAAAGTAAGTCTTAATTGTTAATTTTGAGTTAAATCACATGTTATTTTTTTTTTTAATTTATTTACTTATACAAAATCTTTAATAATCATTGTTATTATTAATAATTATATACTTCAAAAATAACATAATATACTATATAATACAATAAAATGATTTTAAAAACCCATTAAAAGGTAAAATATCTTTGGAACCTTTTTAATTAGTAGCATAATAATTATAAGAGAATAACAGGAATGAAATAAGTAAGTATACAAATCAATGATATTGGAAAAAGATAATAATAAATTTTTGAAAATTCTGTGATATCTTGTAAAATGATAAGATAAAAATTTGGAGGCCAAAAAAAATACCAGACTGGACCTAATTTTTTATCTCAACATCAGAAATGTTTAAATTGAGTAAGGGCGGCGTGTCCCTTTCAGATATAATAAATTTTTAATATAGAAATATTTTAGTGTGTTATTAATATCTTTTATCCAAAAATAAATATTATATTTAATAAACAAAATGGTAATTTATTAATGTAATTGTACATTTTCAGTCCAAAAACTAACCCTTCCCCATTTTAATTGATTTTAAAATAATAATTTTAGAAAGAAATACGGGAATGTGATGGTTATCAGTTTTGACTAACCAAGTATGTGTTAAAATAAAAATGAAAATATTATAAATTATTTTTATAACCAGAACAAGCATTAAAAATGATTATGCAAATTGATAACAAAGTAAGATATTATTGAATATTGCATATTATCTTACAAAATCAAAAGTCCATTTGGAGATTTTGAATTGTTAATAGATTTACAGGAGCACAGGCGCGTAACCAATTGGGGGGAAAGGGGGAAATTCCCCCCATCCCCATCGCAAATTTGACTGTTTTCATAAATATCATTTTAAGCTAATAAAAATTTTACCCTCCACCCTCTCTCCCTCCCCCCCCCCCCCCTCAATCAAAATTTTACAAATATTTGAATATCAATTTTCCAACATAAAACTTATTTTTTATAAATAAATTTTATTAAAATTTCCTTTCCTTGTGAGTACATTAACATTATTCAAAAATATTAATAAAATGGAAAAGTTTTAAGTCAAAAAGATTGAAATCAAATGATAATTTATTATATTATTATATATAATTAATTTATTAAATTCAAAATTATTAGAAAGTTAGAATTGATAAGTATTTTTAATATTAATTTTTAATAAATATCTATAATTTTTTAAATATTTTATATTTACTTCGATTTTGTAGAACAGAAGAAATAGAAATACAAAAGTTAAATAAGGCTGAGCATGAAAAAAAGTAATGTGTCGTCAGAAGCGATATCATTATTGAATTCAATTGATCAATCAGAGTTTATCAAGTTGCATCAATAAATTATTTTCCTATAGCTCACTACTTTGTAGAAATTTACAAAAACCAAATTTAGACTTGGTTCAGGTTATTGATTTGGCGGAAAATATATATGAACAGGTAGATACAATAAGAATGAATGTAGAGGAATAATTTCATAATATTTATATGGACGTTGAATTGAAGGCTAAATTTTATGATATAACACTAATTAAACCTCGTCTAACACCTGGGCAATTATTTAGATGTAAAATAAATATTGGCTCAACTGAAGAATATTATAAAATATCCACTTTCATCCTATTCTTAGATACTTATTTATCGCAAATAAAAGTACGGTTTTTAGATAAAAAACAAGTCTTTAGCAATCTTCAAGTTTTAATACCCAAAGATCCATTTTCGTTTTCTAATGCCACTATTGGTAAAATTAAATATTTAGCAAAATTTTATTCCTATGATATTGATACTGAAATAAATTTAATCAGTGAATTCGAATTGTGGTATAAATATTTACTACGTTTAGCTATTTTACCTGAGCATGCTATTGATGCGCTAAATCGGTGTAAAAAAACCTTCTCAAATTCCTAATATTTTAAAGTTGTTTTATATTCTACCATGTTTGCCTATTATAACATGTACGAATGAAAGGACTTTCCAACTTAAGAAGGTTGAAAACATATTTATGAAGTACTACTTCCGAATCTCGGCTAAATGGGTTAGCTCTGTTAAATATCCACAGTGATTTGATTCCAAAGACAAACAAAATTCTTGATTAATTGGCAACATTCCCACGAAAATTTAAAAATCACATTATAATTATAGTATTTAATAAAAATTTTTGTATAATATTGTATTTGATAAGAAGTTTAAAAAAACTTGTTTTTTAAATTATTTTCTAGTCAATATTTTATAGTGTTGTTAAACGCCTCGTCTTGAGCCAATTTTTAAAAACGTTATCCAGAAAAATATTATGCAAGCCTGAAAATTTTGCTCATAGAAGGAGCAAAGGTCTAGACATAAGTATCGAAATTTCGAGGCTTAGTTAATATTTTTCTGGCGAAAATATTGAGTTAGCCGTTTTTAAAAATCGGCTCAAAACGAGCCGTTTAACAACATTAATATTTTATACACACTACTATTAGTATTTTCAATAAAAAAAATTATATTATACTTATATTGTATGAGAATTTAAGCTGAGGCTAGTTTTTAAAGCAAATTTTATAAAAAAAATGACATTGAACTTTATTTCAACTTTACATTTAAAAAACTTTAATAATATACCTAACTAAAAATAATAAAAAATAGGCTTGTAATATCCATTAGCACGTATTAGTAAATAATAGTTACAAATATAAATATAATTATTATTAAATTATGAATAATTTAATGGAATAGCTAAAACATAAGATGCGGCCGAAGGCCGGGGGAAAGCTGGTCGAAGGCCAGATAAAGAGGGTTTGGAGGCGAAGCCCCTCCCCCCCAACCCCTCAACCCCCCATTAGAAAATCCTGGATACGCCACTGCCAGATCACAAAGGTATAGATATACAACATATTTTGCATTCTAGATATTCTGCTTTGTTAATAATATATTGCCAAGGAAATGCAATAGAAATTGTAAATAATATTACAATCGAAAATTTCTACCATATTGATGAATTTACTAATTGTCAAATAAACCGGCATTTGTTATTTAGGTAAAATTGACATTGATCCTATTGGGGATGATCCTATTTTTAAATATTTAACTGGAATCGAAAAATGCAAAATTGGCCATACCTCACTGGATCATCTTAAATCCGTTGGGTTTTCTAAAATTTTTGCATAAAAATTAGATTTCTGTTATTAGTAGTGGTACCAGTGTCATGACAAGCAACACATCTGATGTAGCAAATGCGTCCCTTTGCAAGCAATTACCGACTATCATACTTTAGAATTGCTTAATTTATCATTATAAATTAGAGATATCCGATACAATAAAAATTGTTACAGGCGTTAATCATTTTAAAGTCTTTATTGATATAATATTTAGTTATATAGCTTGTCTTACAAAAATTTGGCTTTGGATCATATAGCATTTGAATTGGACATTAAGTTGCTGAAGATTAGAGGGGTACTTGATGTATGATAGGTATCTAGCATTTCGTAATGTTAAGGCAGTTGGAATAACTATGAGGCCTGTAAACGTATTTCAAAAATTCTAGCAACAGTACAAAATTTAAAGGGCAGCCTACTTGAGTAGAAAGTTGTAAATCTTCAGATCTAGCTTTACTGTATGATGTTCTGTTTGAATTATCCAATCCGGCTTCAGACAAGAACAATCATATAACGCTGAAAAATCAATAAAGTAAAGTGAAAGATAGGTTTTCTAAAATCGTTTAAGGATATGTCTAATAGGTTCTAAATTTTTTTTAAAATTTATAAATGAATGTTTATTTAAGATTTCTATAGGAGAACATGAAATATCTCATGAATCAGGGAAATAAATAAATTTGGATTAATAATATTAAACGAAACATAAGGCAGTCTGGTATAAATATAAATGGAAAATCAATTCATTACTGCTAATAGACAATATGCAAAATAGGTTATTAGATGCTATTGCCGATAATTCTAGTAATCAAAATTACTAAATTAAATAATGAAGTTTTAACGTTTTAGCTATCTTATATAATATAGTGTTGTTTAAAGGTTCGTTTTGAGCTGATTTTAAAAAACGGCTAACTAAATATTCCATCCATAAAAATATTACACAAGCCTGAAGATTTTGCTCATAGAAGGAACAAAGGTCTAGACATATATTATCAAAATCTCAAGGCTTAGACAATGTCTAAGCAATGATCCCTTATATTTAAAAAAAAAATTTGCTAAGTGGGTTGAGATCTTTCCTCCCCTTCTCTCACACGCCATCTACTCCTTAAAAATCAAAAAGAAATCATATAAGCAACCATATCTGATTTATTATACCAAAGTATACAGCTTCAGTTAATGTGTGAATAAGCATCTATATGAGAAAATAAACACTGGAGGCAACCGTTACCTCAAAGTTCTATAATTTCCTCCCTAAAAAATCTTTCACCACATTGGCAACGATATTCCCATGTTTAATTACAAGTTTTAACTATAATGGCAATCTCTTCATATATTTTAAATAGAGCAATACGCTATTACAAACTTTCAAAATAGCAAAGGACTTATTTTTTAGAATAGGAATTAAAAACTTCCCCTCATTTATCATGAATGCTAACCCTGTCATAAACTGTTGATCAATCATCTGTCAAATCTGAGGTTTGAAATCAGTAGTCTGAATTCAGTAAAAATAGTGTTCTATCCATGAATTTAGCATGGATAAAAATTTTTATGGTCATACTTTACAGATACCCATCTTTTGTCATTCCTAATCTTTACCCCATTAATGACTCTGTTTTACTTTTAGACAATACTAATTTTGATAGCGAAATAAATAACAAATCTTATGCTATGGTAATAAATTTCTATGCTAGTTGGTGTGGGCATTGTAAAGCATTTGCTCCAATTTACATATCATACTCTAAAAATGTAGCTCGTAAATATAAATTACATAATAATAAATTATATCATAACTTTAGGATGGAAAAAATGTGTGTATGTGGCTGCAATAGATTGTGCTCTTCCACAGCATAATGACATCTGTACCCAATATGAAATAATTGCATTTCCTACATTAAAGGTAAGCTTTTAAATTAAATTTTTTAAATTTTTACAAAGTTTTTTCCACCAAATGCAAATGGTTCTTATTATTCAATGTTAGCTTCTCATAATATTTCAGAGCTAATTGAAGAAACCCTTGTAAATTTTGGAAAAGTTCTTGTAAAACCATTGTCATGGCCAGATTATAGTCTCCATTCTTTGTAAAAATATAATTTAATGTTATATATAACCTAATATAGTGATGAAATTAAATATTTGATGAAACCTGCAAGTTCAATTAAAATTTTGGTAATTGCCCAAAAATACAAAGAAAACATTATAGGAATTCAGGTATTTTATTTGATGAATCATACATATTAAGACTTTATTATAGCTAATATTAGATTTTATGGATATACCATCTCTAAAAATTATAAGAATTCTTTATAGCAAATTAAATATTAAATTTGACAAAGAAGCAAATCTAACTTTATTTAAAATTTTAAGTCCCTTACAACTCACAACATTTTTTAGGTAATATATTTTATTACACTATATATTTTATAAATAAATTATCAGTCTAAACCCTATGTTTAAGAGATGCATAATTCTATATATTTTTTAATTTCATTCTTATTTGTTATTCTGATATTGCAATTCCTCTTATTTAATAAAAAGAAATGCTTTTTTATTTTTAAATTCAAGATTGATTTTAATTAATTGTAGAGTCCTATTTTATTGGGGTACATAATTTCTCAAAATGTCCATTTTAATAATAACATATTTTATCAATAATTAATTATGGGCATAACAGATAAAAAGAACCTTATAATAATTAAATCGACCACCGATTTGGCCGACCATCTCAAAAATGAATGAAACTTGGCATGTTAGTTATTTATGTTGTAAATGTTAATAAAATCAAAATTTAAGAGTTCTAGCACAACCAGATCCAAAGATAATCACCTTCAAAGTCGAAAATCACGAAGTGTGTGATTTCATTAAATCTTGTTGTTTTAAAAAATATTTAAGATAGAGTTACAAATTATATATCATTTTATAGCCCTTAAAATTTTATGTTGAAAAATATAAAAAAAATAATTAAAAAATTTCAAGTGTTTTCTAATTTCAGGTAAAAATATTATCATTGTTAGGAAGAAATTTTTTTTGGGTGTTAATATTCACTAAAAATGTTTATTACCTATATATTAAACGATTTAATAAAAAATCTCGATAATTATTTTTGTTTTTTAATTTTAATTTTTATTATTTTTTAAATAAAAAATGTAATATAGATGGCGTTATATTAAAAATTTTTATAATATATAATTTTTAATAAAAATATGAATAGTATTTTGATTAAAATTAAAAAATCAATTGAGTATAACCAAGAATGATGTACTGGGGCGATATAAACTAGTGCTGTAAAGTAATGTTAAAAACGAGTCTAATGTGTAACACGTTTCTTTTTTTTGAGTAACAGTAATACAAATCGTTACTTTTAATTTTTTCTTAAAAAATGGGATAAATAACCTCCATTTTTATTTTTATTAATTTTTTAAATTTTATAAATAATTTAAGTCAGATCAACCACTAAATTCCTTCTTTTATATTTTAAATTTTCAGTCAAGATTGTTGATCTTAATATTTATTTAATCAAGTTATGTTAATTTATATTCTTATTCACTTCTTCTTTTTCTTCGTTTTATGGTGATTTCCAGGTTTACCTGGGTAGGCCAGTTTTCCCTTTGATTTTTCTTTTCCATTTTTGACGGTCCTGAGCATCAATATTTGTAAGATTCATGCTTCTCATATCCTCCGCTATCACATTTGTCCACGTCATCTTGGGCCTTCCTCTAGGTCTTGATCCCCATACTCCCATCAAGGTGCATCTCTTTACCCAGTCATCTTTTGTCATACGTTCCACATGCTCAAACCATCTTAGTCTATTTTGTCGCATTACCACTCCAATCATTTCTATACCCAATCTTGCTTGCAATTCCTTGCTAGTTTTTCTCTCTCACAGAGATACCCCACACATTCATCTAATCATCCTCATCTCTGTTCTTTCTAATTTGGTTTCGTGAGTCGCTTTCATTGCCCATATTTTGCCGCCATAAACTAAGCAACTCCTCACACAGCTTACGTAAACTTTCCCCTTTAACTTTAGAGAGACTTTTTTTTTTGTAAGAATAGACGACATCTCTCTTAACTTCTTCTAAGCTTGTCTGACCCTTGCAACAATGGCAGAATCTACACCACTATCTGCGTTTAGCATATCACCCAAATAACAAAACTTATCCACTTTTTCTAGGGTTAACCCATTTTCAATATCTAGACCACCATTTTCTACATTATCGTTATTATGTATCAATTTCATATATGTTCTTTAAATAAATGTCATTTTTTCTAACATCAAACTTCCTTTTTTCCCGCTACATCTATTATGTACCCATTTTTGGCATCTGGTGCATTGGATTGAATTTCTAGCAACTCCTTTCCCACATACACCACAAGGCCCCTTACCGGATTCCTCCATCTTTAGATTTTCCCCACCAATCATCACCTTTGTCTTTGATGCATTCATTTTCAGACCCTTTGCTTCCATAGTCATCTTCCATATACTAATTTTATCCCTCAATTCTTCCTCAATGTTTGCCATTAATACAAGGTCATCTGCATATAATAGCTCCCAGGGAAGTCCTTCACACATTTCTCAAGCCACCACATCCATTATTAAGATAAATAATAATGGACTCAGCACGGATCCTTGATGAAGTTCTACTTTCACCTCAAAGCTTTCACTATCACCATAATCCGTCCGTACTGCTGTTAGTGCTCTTACTTACATTGCCATCACTGCGATAACCAACCATTCCTCCACACCTGATTTCCTCAAGGCCCATCTAGTAACTTCACGCGGCATCCTTTCAAATGTTTTCTCTAAATAAACAAACTCATAATAGAGGTTTTTTTCCCTCGCAAGATACTTCTCCTGTATTTGCCTCACCACAAAAATTGCATCTGTCGTGCCTTTTCCCGATGTAAAACCAAACTGCATTTCATCAATTTTCCCTTATGCGCTTCTCTAACACCCTCTCAAATACCTACATTGCATGTTCCAAGAGTTTAATAGCTCTGTAAGACTCGCTATCTAATGGATCACCCTTTTCCCTGTATACTGGGATAATTATACTTCTTCGCCAGTCCTCTGGAGGAATAGTTCCTTCTGTAACAATTTGATTTGCCAAATTCATAAACCATTCAATTGCTAAGTAATTAAGTCATCAGAACCTTTAAACATCTCTGATACCACCATCATTAAACCCGTTGCCTTCCATTTTTTTATCTTTTTCACTGCTTTCTTTATTTCATCCTTGCCAAATTTACATCCTGGACCTTCTACCTTTGCACAACTAACATTATTATCCCATTCATTTCTTCGTTCTAACCTCCTTCCATGTAGATTTTCCAGGTGTTCTTAATACCATTACTATCAATTACCATTTTTCCTTTCAAATTTTTCAAGCATTTAACACCTATCACATCTTGCCTCTTTTTTGCCATCTGCTTTGCCATTCGAACCACATTTCCCATTCCTTCAGCACATTCCATTTCTTTAGCAAACTCCTGCCTTTTTTCTTTTTGCGCCATCGCTATTAACTTCTTTTCGCCATCTTGTAAATATCGTTATCACTATTATCCTTACTATTATACCATTCTTTAAAACACCTGCGTTTCTCATCCACAGCTTTCGATATCTCCGGGTTCCACCACCAAGTCTCCTTATGTCTAGGCGACCCTTTTGTCCATCCACATACCTCCTCAGTTGTCATCACCCAGGCTTTCTTCATGACCTCCCACTTGTCATTTACCTCAGATGCTTGTGCCACCTCTGCCTCCTTTATCGCCAATGTCATATTGAATTGTCGTCTTGCACTCTCCTCCTTCAATTTCCAGACCTTCAGTCTTGGCACAAACTTTCTTTTAGTGATCCTGGCGCCTATAAAAGTAAGATCTCCTATAACTAGTCGATGCTGATTAATACATTCCTCTCCCGGTATCACTTTCACATTTTTTACTATACATCTATCACATCTTCTTAATAACATATAACCACCGCAATTTTGGTACTACCTAACTTATAAGTTACAAGCTTCTCTACTTCTTTCTTAAACATTGTATTACAGACAATCATATCCATAACATCACTAAAATCTAAAATCCTCTCCCCTTCCAGATTCCTCATGCTATACCAAAAACGAATTATTTGCTATTCGAAATTTGATTCGATTCGATTCGTATTTTACGAATACGAATAACACAATTATTCGATTCGAAATATATTATTCGTCGAATAATTTTTTATCTATTATTCGATCGAATTATTCGATTAAAATAATTTATATTAATAAATATCGAAAAATAATCAAATATTATTAGTAAGAATTATTAGCAATTATTTCTAGTTAATATAATTTCGTAGTGGAGTAATGAAGAAACATTTTATATTTCTAAATGTTGTTAACGGCTATTTTTATTCGAATAATTCATAATACAAAATTAACTTCCGAAAATTGTTTTATGATGGACGAAGAAAGTATTTATTTTTATTCGTAATTTATAACACATATACAATTATAAATAACTAGTAGCTATCCCGTCAAGAATGACGGGCGAATCAGATATTTCTCATTTGTTTGATGATGGAGAAATCATAAATTTGACTTTTTACAAAAACTTTGTGTTTAAAAAATTTGTTGTTGGTATATTTGTCTTCTACATGTTATGAATATTATATTGATTTTTCAACATTATATATAAATATATATGTATGCTTCTATATTATCTTACTAATAAAATTTGTTTGTCTTTTATCCATAGTTAAATTTACAAAATAAATTAAATATGCTATCTTTTTTAATTTACGATTAAATAAAATTTTCGAATTGAATCGAATATTCGACGAATCGAATCGAATAATCATTTTATTATTCGTACAAATAAGAATACTAAATTATTTGATTTAAACGAATACGAATAATTCCTTTTCGAATACGGATGCAATTATTTGATTCGATTCGTATTTTTGTAGGTATACTACATGCCATAACTGTACCCTCCATGTACTCCTTCATAACCTTCACTACTCGCTCCTACATGTCTATTCAGATCACCAGCCAGGATAATCCCCACTTTATTTGCCAGTCTCGATGTCACCCCCAATAGACTGTCCCAAAATATATCTTTCTCTTCTTCACTTCTTCCAACCTGAGGAACATATGCCGAGATAATATTATATAGCTTTCTACCAAAAATCATCTTTATAATAATTATCTGGTTATTTAGTCTTCTCACTTCGACTACTTTGTCTACCAATTTCTCCGCAACCAATACCCCGACTCCTGCCTTACCATCATTACTTCCTTGCCAAAAGAATTTATACTTTTCACTAGTCTTGCCAATCATTCTTGTCCCATTTCCTTTCCATCTGGTCTCCTGTATACAGCACACATCTATATGCCTTCTATGCA